GTGGTGCTGGGGGATTGAACCGCGGTCCCTGATGCCTTGCCAAGCTTGTTCTAAGTAGGTGCTTTAGACCACTGAGCCATCTCTCCAGCCCCTCCCCAGCCTCTTATAATGTTAACTGAAGCGAGGACAAGGGATTCTGGGCAGCATATGATTGTGATCATGAGGGAGCGAAACAGAGAGACAGATGATCTAAAGAAAACTCGGCGAGGGATCCATGACAGGTGACTATGGCGGGTCAGTTCATAGGTGACTTTACCTTCATCTTTTTTGGTAATATTTCCTCTTCTACTAAAAACCAAAAACCAAAACAAAACCCTTGTGACTATTTTTTCATTTGTGTGTTTGGTACAGGGTCTCACTACGCAGATCAGACTCGTGGTGATCTTCCCGTTTTCAGCCTCACCAGTGCTCGGATTATAGGCGTAGGCCACCATGCCCAGGGTGGCTCAGTGCGCCCTGGGGGCAGTGCTAGCAAGGTATATGGGACCACAGATTGAACCCTGGTCCCTGCACTTGCCAAAGCAGGGCGCTTAGTTCACTGAGCTATCTCACTGACCCTCCTTGAGACTTTTTAAAATCAGACTAAAAGTAAACAGGGAGATAGAACTTTTTTAAAAGGAACGGAAACCAAAAAGATGGGGAGGAGGGAAGGAAAGGGTTAAAAAAAGAATTAAGATGTGTTATATATAGGTATGAACTCCCCACAATGACTTTAATTGTTATAGACTGCAACTATGTACCAATAAAAAATAAAAATAGACAAGGAAAACAAAGACATGTCATATAAATAGCAGGACAAGAGAAAGATGATTACATTGTGCTGGCTGCCTAGTACTTCAGAACAGGCATCAGCAAACTTTTTCTGGAAAGTGCCAGATAGTATTCTAGGCTTTACGGGCTCTGGGATTTGGCCTCTCTCCTGAACTTGGCATGACTCCTCCATTCGGTAGCACAAAAGCCATGGCTGACCATTCTGGACATGAGGGCATTGCCATGTTCCAATAAAACTCTATTTACAAAGTCAGGACAGCTTAGGCCCACTTTGTCAAATCCTGCTTTAGAAGATGCCATTTTCTTTTTTTTTTTTTAATATTTATTTATTTTTATTTATTACATTTATTTATTGTGTGTGTGTGTGGCCAGCTCAGCCCACCAGGGGGCGGGGCTGGCTGGCATGTGGTGCTGGGGATCGAACCGCGGCCCTGTGCTTTGCCAAGCTTGTTTCAAGTAGGTGCTTTAGACCACTGAGCCATCTCTCCAGCCCCAGAAGATGCCATTTTCTCTGCATGCTTCTGGGATGCTTCTCAATTCATTATGAAAGCAGAAAAAATTTGCTATGCAAACAGGTGTGAAAGCAGGTGGGGCAAATCTGAAGTCCACGCCAGTTTATTACACAGTACTCCTCAGGGCCAGCTAAACAGCTCAGTGGATTAAAGCGCCGGCAAGCAGGCGCAGGGGCTTGATCCTTGCCCTGCCATGCCGGCCCTATCCCCAGGGTGCGCTGAGACTGCACTTGAGACTGGGTATGGTGGCACATGCCTGTAATCCTAGCCCTTGGGAGGCTGTAAACAGGAGAATCACTATGAGTCCAAGCTAGTAGTGAGACTGAATACTCTGTAGACCCTTCCCTAAAATACAGAAAATAAACAAACACAGTACTCCTCAAAAGCCCATGGGTATGTCTCCTGCTCCTGCTCACTATAATCATTCACGCTTGTTTATTAAAATGAGTGCACTCATCTTTTTATTAGTTTGGATCATGTTACAATGAATATTCTAATTTTTTTTTCTTGGTGGTACTAGAGATTCAGTCCAGGGCTTTAGGAACGCTAAACAAAAGCTCCACCACACTGAGCTATACCCCTAGCACCTTTTACATTTACTTATTTTTTGTTTTGTTTTTTCTTTTATGTTTATGTTTATGTTTATTTTTTATTTTTTTATTTTTTTTTGCAGAACCAAGGATTGAACTCAGACCCTTGCGCTTGCCAGGGAAGCACTTATTCCACTGAGCCATCTTCCCAGCCCCCTCTTTTATGTTTATTTTGAAACAGATTGGCCTCAAACTTCTGATCCTTCTGCCTCTGCCTCTCCAGTGGCTGGGATTACCTGGAAATGGTACACCTTTTTTCAAAAAAGCTCTTTCAGCCTTTGGAGGTGGTCGCAGCAAAGGCAAGGTGTCCACATAAACGCTGCGGACATGCACAGGCTGGAGCACAGTACCTTCAGGCTGACATCTGTCCAGTAGATGTGGTTGTTGGACACATCGAAGTCCAGTGCAGAGGCCTCCTTGACGCCAGTGAGGGGGATGGCCACATCATTGTTGTTGGTCTCCAGGGAGATCCTGTGGATGGCAGCCCGGCTGGTGAACACCAGGAAGGCCTCGGGGACTATGCAGGTCTTCATGTCACTCAGCAGCTCCAGGCCAATGGGGCAGCCACATCTGGTGGCACGGGGCGTGAAGAAGCACAGATGGCTGCATCCCCCGTTCCCATCAGCACATGGGTTGGTTCCTGGGGACAAATAAACAGTTCTAGAGAACTATAGCCACAGAGACAGGGACACTCACTCCACAGCTGCACTTGTCACTTGTCAGATGGGAACATGACAGGGGTAGGGGATGGAAGCACAGGGATAGGGTAGAGGTGTGTGGAAGAAAGTCCTGGTAAGCCAGAGCTCTCTTAGGCATGGCTGCGTGATAGTGGAAACTACAGGGACATGCAATGCACAGAGCCTGAACCTAGGATGTCACCTGGTTTAACTCACTCTACTGCCCTCGAAGAAGCTTCTCACTCCAACTTTGTTTTGTTTTTTAGTATTGGGGACTGAACACAGGGCTTTCCACTAACTACATCCCCAGCTCCCTTTCTTTTAGTTTTTCTTTTGAGACAGATCTCAATGAGAAACTAAGGTGCCCTGGTTGGCCTCAAACTTATGATCTTCCTGCCTCAGCCTCCCAGAGTGCCGAGATTACCGGCATGTACCACCATACCCAACTTCATCCCAGTTTTCCAGTAGGGAATACTGAAGCATGGATAGGCTCTGAAGGTAATGTAGTCAGAAGTTGGGAAGAAGCTTGATGAGAACCCCAGTGGCCCAGGTTCCTGGCCTGAGCTCTGTACAGCCCAGCAGGATGCAGTGACACCCCAGGCCAGCAACTGGCTGAGCTGTCCTACCTATGGCCTCGGCCCCTGGTGTGCTAACAGACTGACCCCTGGGATTCTCCTAGGTGCTCCCTCTCAAAGACCTTTTTTTTTAATGTATGTAGTACAGGGTCCACAGGGTCTCACTGCACAGATCAGACTTGTAATCCTCTGTTTTCAGCCTCCCAAGCTCTGGGATTACAGGTGTGCGCCACCGCGCCCTGTCTCAGTACACCTCAGGGGCACTGAGCCATCTCCTCAGCCCCTATAACTTAAGAGTTAAAGTCTTTTTTTTTTTTTTGGCAGAACCAGAGATTGAACTCAGACCTTTGTGCTTGCCAGGGAAATGCTTATTCTACTGAGCTATCTCCCCAGCCCCTATAAAAATTAGTTTTAATTCAGTGATTAAAAAAAAAAAAAAAAGAATCTTTTTTGTCATATCCCTTAAAAAAAAACTGTGAGATCCAAAGAAAGGGAGAGGTGATTTCTCAACTTTAAATCACAGTCCCCTGGAGACATTTTTCTAGTCTCCCACATTCTATTTCGGGCTCTCAGAACATTCATAAGCAGTCTCACCTTCCAGTGAGTAATGAGTGTGTTTTGGAAGATGGCTGTGAAAACTAAACCTGTCCCATCCGCGGTCTTGGCTTCAGGAGCATAGACTGCATAAAGACCTGGCCACAGCGACAAGCAACGCAGCTTTCCCTGAGTTTACCCACATCACCTCACCCAGGGGCACACCCCTGCTAGGCCCACCCAGGCCCACCCATGTGCCCCCTGAGTGCTAAGCTCAGGCCTCTGTCTCATATCTTAGAGCCAGGTACCCCTTTCATTCACAGCTGCAGCCACCAGCCCGGAAGCAGAGCTTGTCAGGGCTATCTCACCCGCCATTCTGGAAGCACTCAACTCTAAGCTGGGTCCTTTCTTCTGTCACTCTCCCACCCAGCAAAGGTTCCCTAAAGATCCTGACACACAGGCACAACACTAGGTGGCAGGGCCTGGCTGGGAACAGGGCCCTGCTCGGGAGCGCACAGTCCCATCGCTCCTACTCCTGGATATGGCTCTCTCCATATAACCCGCGGGTCTGCACTTGGAATCCTTCTCAGAGACAAATGGTCATGCCACACAAAAGTGTCCTAAGACAGCTCTTAGCTGATCCTGGTTTCGAGATAAGAGGTGTATGTTTGAGGGTCCCAGTCTCTCAGAATGAACAACAGTCACAGTATAGACCAGTGACAAGAACAAGGTGGATCCAGGTGAGTCCTGAGCCGGCTCACTCACTAGCTACATGGCCTTGCCTCCCTCTTCCTGGTGCCAGTAGGGAAGCCACTATGATTATCATACAGGTTAATAGGAACTCTGACCCTTGGCCAGCGCCTGGCACACCCGGTGCTCAGCAATGTTGGCCACTATGACTACCAACATTCTCTAACATACGAACTGCCTACTCCATATCCCTGAGCAAATGCTATCCCCATTCCTACCTGTCCTTAACTATGTATGTACTGTATCACCTTGTCCTGCCCTGTCCATCTCCTGAGTGTGGACCCTGCTGGACACCCGTGTCGAGGTCTGGACCTGTCTTATCTCCCTTGGCTTCCGCAGACTCACCAATGACCTTGGCCACATTCACGGCTTTGAGCCCCATGAGGTCAGGCAGCTGATCAATGATGACATCCCGGCTTGCCTTGACCTTGTGTACCCGCTCAATGCTGCGCCGTTGCCAGTCGGTCCAGTAGATGAAGTCCCCCAGCAGTGTGAACCCAAAAATGTGTGGGAGCTTGTCCTCCAGGAGGGTCTGCCTCTTGGTCCCATCCATGTTGATCACCTGCAAGACAAGGACAAGATCTAGGGACTGGGCCAGGGGCCAGGCTTCGGAGAGCCAACCCTGACCCTGCCTTGGACTGAACTGTCCCAAAAGAGCCAGGGTCGACTCCCTGGAGCCTCTCATTGCCTGCAGCATGCCAGGATGGGAAACTGCCAGGAGCCACAGGGGTTTAAGGGACATTTTCATTATTATGCCACACCCTCAGTTCATGTGGCAGGCTTGGGCCTACCTCAGGGGTCCTTCGAAGCACAGTTTCTTTACCTGGATGTGGCTGCCTAGAGTACCAAGGAGTGGCCCTCAACCAGGAGGATGCTCAGGATTCATTTGCAACGCTTGCCAAGGTATAGGCATTGCTTGTGGGGGAGGCCCATAGTCTAAAACCGTAGCACAGAATTTCAAAAGCCTGGACAGCTACAGGACCTGAGCACATTCCTCCTGCTTCTCTGTAAGATAAACTCTTGTTCACTGAGGTGCAGATGAACTCTAAGGACACCTCCTGTTCCAATTCCAGGCCTGAAAGTCTAAGGCCCTTTCTGCTCTGTTCACTCTGATATGACAAAGCTAAATCGTTTCCTTGAAAGGTCAATGCTGATGAAAAGCAATCAATGCAGAAAGAATAGTGGGCACAATCGAACATAAACTGCCTTAACAGGCTGTTGGCCACAGTCAGGGGACAGGCAAGATTCTGAGGATCCTGCAGAAGCCACATGAGGCACTCAGGCTCTCTTGACATGACGAAACATGAGACAATTAGAGGCAAGTTTCTGCAGCAGGGTCCACTTCTGGCTTGGGAGAAAAGCTACAAATGCTATTTTGCAGGCGGCCACATGTGTGCTGGGTAGAAAAGACTGGTTCTGTATTGTTGGCCAGCATGAAGCAACACTCTCAGCCAACTGAGGAGAACTGGCAGGTCAGGCGCCTCATTCTGGGGTCCCACAACACTCAGCATCCTTGTGCAGGTCCTTGCACCCCGCACCCAACATCCATCTTGCCACCTATAACTGAGAGGAACAGACTAGCCAGTAGCTAAGTCACCTAGAGAATGTAACAAAACAAAGAAAGAAGGCTGGCCACAGCCTAAGTCACAATCAGACACTCATTAACACTGCTCCCAAGCAGGCCAGGTGCAAGCCGCAGCCTTACCTGTAGCTGGGAGCTGCGCACCGGCACCGGCACCTGACCTGCACCAGCCCCAGCCCCAGCCCCAGCGCTGGGCTCCTCACTGGCTGCTCAGTGAGCAGCAGAGGGAGGTGGTGAATGGGTCAGCCCACACCACGTTGGGTTCTTGCCTGTATTTTGCCTCCATCACAAGAAGGCACATAAAAACGAGGCAGATACAACACCCCAGCATGGAGAAGGCCGAGGAGGGGGTCTGACCCAGGTTAGAGCTGGGCAGTGCAAGTAGACAATGGTGGCCAGTTAGAAGGCAGATTCTGACCAGCCTGGAAACCTGGCGCTCCTGGAGTCAGGCTACCAGTGACAGCAGTGCAGCGCGTGCACACCAGAAGAAAACAACCCACACCAAGAAGAAGAAAGGACTCAAAGTTTTTTTTTTTTTTTTTTTTTTCCAAAGTTTAAAAATGGACCAGGAAGTCAAAATTCTGTCTGTGGGGCCGGGGAAATGGCTCAGTGGAATAAGCACTTGCCTGGCAAGTGCAGTGGCCTGAGTTCAATCCCCGGTTCCGCAAAAAAAAAAAAAAAAAAAAAAAAAATTCTGTCTGTAAGAGACTTTGTTCTATTTCCACACTTTATTCATTATCTTTACTATAAATTCCCGAATTTATTAAATTGAACTGAGGTAAAGAGTATATTTGTCTTGCCTCATTCAAAACAATGAAAAGACTGCTGTAGAGGACCCAAGAAGACCAAAGGTGACAGCGCGCTGGTTGGCAGCCACTTCCCCTCTTTCCACCTTTGCTCCTCACTTCCTTGTTGTGTCAAAACAAAGTGGGAAGAGGTTGGGCTCTCTGCTGGGTGGGGTGCAGTCACCCACAGGAAGAACTGGATGCAGCTCTGGCTGGCTGGCGCAGGGCAGCCTGGGTAGGGAGAGGCTCCTTCAAACCTCTAAGTGACTGGGAAGCCACACCCCACCCCACCCATTTGCACATATTACGGAACCTCTTGACAACCTAGCACACTCAGGGCGAAGCTCTTACAGCTTTCAATAATAAACAGCCCACGGTGGCAAGCATGCCTTCGGTTTGCCACCACCAGCCTCCAATGAGGCGGCCTGCAGTGGGCAGTTCCTAGCTGCTCTGTCATGGGGAACAGGAAGATCCCACAATAGCCTTTCTGCTGTTTTTCTGGGGATGCTCCCCACTGCCACCTGCCAAGTGCATGCCATGCACAAGTTCTACTACTGAGCTAACAGTCCCAGCCCTATTTACTTATTTTGTATTTTAGGGAAGGGTCTACAGGGCGTTCAGGGTCTCACTACTAGATCAGTGATCCACCTGTTTACAGCCTCCCCAGAGCTGGGATTACAGGCGTGAGCATCACCAAGCCCAGTCTCCACTGCTATCTCAGCGCACCCTGGGGACAGGGCCAGCACAGCAGGCCTGGGGATCAAACCCCCAGCCCTTGTGCCTGCTTGCAGGCACTTTAACCCACTGAGCTATTTGGCAGGCCCTTTATTTTTGAGACAGGGTCTTGCTAAGCTGTTTAGGCCATCCTTGAACTTGCAATTCTCCTGCCTCAGCCTAAGTAGTGTGCACCATTGCTCCTGGCTCCAGAGTAGCCTTTTAATGACACTTTTCAGCACCTCTTTAGCCAGCTGCACTGCATCTATTTCCATCTTTGAGGCTATGACACTGGCAGGGCTAAAACACCTGTGGAGCATGCACCGAAGAGCAGGTGGCTGAGTTCCAATGAAACTCTGTGGATGCAATTTGGATACTGAACTTTGAAATGCACATTACTTCTATGGATCATGAAATCCATTAAAAATGGCAACCACTCTCAGTGAACATGGTTTTAAAATAGGCAGCAGGCCAGACTTGGCTACGGGTCAGGCTTGCCAGCTCCTGCCCTGGGCGCTCCCATGCTCTGGCTCTTCAGGAAAGGAAATCAGACACAAGAGGCTACATCCGGAGGCAGCCAGCCTCCCACAGCTCTCTGCTCTGTTCCCACCCCACCCCAAGAAGACCTCTGTCTTCCATAGCCAGTACATCAGACCAGCACCCATGAGGTGGGAAGGAAAGGTGGGCAAACCCCAGAGAAGCCTACCCTCAACTGCCCGCAAGTCAGACCACATAAAACTGGTCCCGGGAAGTGGCCGGATGTGCCAGTTCCTGATAATGATCCTCTATTTCCTAAGACGTGTCTGTTCGGAGCTATGAGCCCAAGTCCAGTTCTCTGAAGGCACAAGGGAAGGAAGTCCACTCCAGAGGGAATGATGATTGTGGTTAGGCACAAACCCTAAATGAAATCCACTATAGTGGCTGGGCAGGGTAGCATGCGGCACTCTAGAAGGCTGATGTCCAAGCCCAGCCTGGGAAGATCAGAGTCTAAGCCCAGCCTGGATGACTCCGCAACTTAGTGAGACTTTCTCTCAAAAATAAACAAAACATGAAAAGGCTACAGTATAGCTCAGTGGCAAGGCCCTGGGTTCAACATGCAGAAGGGAGGAGTATGGTGATTTTGTTTCACATGAGGAGAAGGATTTTGAATACCCAGCTCTGCAGCTTGAGTGCCAGCCTGCTAACTTCCCCAGGGTGACTAGGCCTCTCTGCTCCCTAGGAACTACTTTGATGAGGGTTTACTTCAGCTGAATCCCACGCCACCTCTAGCTGCTTAGAAAAATATCAGGGCAGGTGACAAAGGCCTAGTGAGGAGTAGGTAGGGCCACCAAGAAAGCGCAGTTGGGAATAACATCACTCCTGATGTGCAAGTGTCCTGTGTGCCCTCCAGGGGACAGCACAGAGACAACTCGAGCTGGGTCTCTGAGCTGTGCTTTGACAGCCAAGGTCTAACACAGGTAGGTGAAGTGACGGCAGTGACAATGACTTGGGTAAAGTGAACACACAAGCCTGGATAGATCAGTGTCCCATTCTGGAAAGGAACACCCTCACTGGGTGACATGGGTGGAGACGACCCAGGCTTTCTAGGGAAGGGCCAGGGAGAGGCTGGGTACGTAAGTCTGAGACTAGCAAAGTGTTCTGGACAAAAGGAATAGACTGGAGAGGCCCAATGGGGCCTGGTACTCACTGAAAAGCACTCTCAGTGGGAAAGAATAATAGGGTCCAAGTGTCACCAATGAGGGACCCCTTAAGGAGACAAAAGACCTTGGTCACTGTTACAAAGAAAGCTGCATCTGGTGGCATACGACTAAGCCTATGGCAGGTCAGAGGAGGAGCCTAAAGCTGGAGCAGGAAGTCCTATAGGCAGGGAGACAGGAATGTCGCAGGCAGGGCCCAAGCTATATACCACAAGGTCCATGAATGGGCTAAAAATGGCTAAGTTCACCTACACAGCAGGAAAATTCCAATCTCCAGGGCTCTACACTTGGGAAAAAGGTGAAGGAGGCAACCCACAGGCAAAGCCAGCATCAGGCTGGAATTCCTAGATGAGGAGGCTGAAAGACCAGAAGGAGTCACTCCAGGGAACCAGAGGGAACACGGTGAGCCCCCACAGGGCCCTAGCCCATCTGGACAGGGCAGGTCCTGAACACAACTGCAACCTGCCGGCATCAGGCATGACCTGGATGGCCCCGCAGGTGGGAGGGGAGCTCAGGGCCCTCTCCCATGGGGAGGCAGCAAGGCACTGGCCTCAGTCATCACCCCGTGACTCTTAGCTACCACCAATGATGGGCTGCCACTACCACGTACCCCTCGAACCAGATTTCCAGAACAGCTGTCACATAAAAGGCCAGCAGGAGGCCACCAGGACCTACCCAGACTCTCCACTTAGTCAACTGGATCAGTGTACTAATGCCATCCAGATGGAACCCAATTCATCAACTTGACACTCTCAGACCTTTGTCCTCCCAATTCGTCAAAAGATCAGCCACGCTGTCTGTGAAGTCTTCCTCGGGGACTAACGTTGGGACATGGGTAGCCTGTTTGCTTCGTTAAAGGAAAAGCCAGTTTACCCTTTCTTTCAGTGTCCACACTCTGCCTTTGAAGCCAAGACCTACATACACCGTGCTGAATGGAACCTTTCCTCCCTCAAAGTCAAGGGACAGCATAGGCTTCCGGCTGGTACTCAGGTTTATTCAAATGTGGCTTGACCATATCCTTCTCTTCTGACACAATTTCTTAGCAATGTCACCATGGCTCAAAGCATGTCCTGCCTCTTTCCTGACCTCTCACACCTTTTGCTACCATTTCCTACCTGCAGTCTCTAACAGCATTTCTCAGAAAGGCATATGTCCTGGCCCCTAGGTGGCTCCTTGAATGGCTTCAAGATCCCCAACCAGCAGCAGCCACTGTGCCGGGGAAGCAGCCTACTGCAATAGCCTATGTAAGAGGTAGCCAAATCGCACTTTGCAGGAGCATCTGGGGTGTGTTTATGAAGGCCCCCAATGCCTGGAACACACCTGCGGCACAGTAAATGCTCAGAGCTGTTTACCGACTAAGTAGTAGAAGTCCTTGCCTGAAGGTGGAAGTCCACGGCACAAACCTATGGGCAAGTCCCCAAGTGACTCCCCGAAGCCCGCTTGGACCTGGGGTATCTCTCTACTCAAACATGCCACAAGGTTTGTTCCAGGACCTGAGTTTGATCTTGGGAGGAGCCATGACCCTCTGACACTTGCCAACACATCCAGGTTCAGCTCCTGCTCTTAGGAAAGGAAGCCGAATTCAGTTATAGCAGAAAATAAGGAACCCACGTCTCCATGTCCATGTTGTGCAGACAGCCTCCCTGGGGCCAATGAGTGTGCAAGCCCTTGGCCTGGGCCATCATTCCCAAAGTGCAACCCAGGGCCACGGCAGGGAGAGGGGCCTTCAGCTGTGCAGTCCGAGCACGCTTCTGTGACCAACTCCCCTCCCTGCACTACGTATGCAACCGCAGCACCGGTGGAGGGCAAGGCCTGTGGAAGTGCACTTCAGTCAGTCCCTGCCCCACCCTCACTCCTCAGGGCTCCTTTCCTGTGTCTAGCAGCGAGACCCCGGAGGTCAGGCCAAGTGCTTACAGAGTGAGTTCTTGAGTGACCTATGCCAGCACTGCCCGCTGTCTGTGACTCTGTGGGCTAACTTGGGCTGTCACTCACTCCTCATCCTCCACCCTCCATGACCCAACGTCACTATGTTCAGTTCCTCTGGTCACCCATGAAACTACTGTTCTCTGACCTTTTCTGCATCCCTCATTCAGAGTATCCCTCACTTGTCCAGCTGCTCATGAGAGGGTCTTACTGCCCTTCCCTCTTCTGTACTCCCCCGATTTCCATACGTGACCACTACAGTGGCCCAACACTATCTACAGGGATTTGTCAATGTATGGACTCCTCCCAACACCAGAAAATCAAAAGATCATGCTCACAGCATTGTGACAGTAAAGATACCAGCCAAATAATGACTTTCAGGGGCACTCCTTTCCCATGACATCTTTGATTCTTCCAGAAGGCATTTCTCTTCTTACTTTCTGGCCTCACCAACCCCTCTGATGTTTCTAACTTCCCAAGCACAGCACCAAGAACCTGGAATTCGGGGCAGGGGGTGTAGCTCAGCAGGGTGCTTGCCTAATGTGCAAAATCCTGCGTTCCATCCTCAGCACACAGGAGCAGGGGGAGCAGAAGGAAGAAGAGAAAACAAGAAAAAAACCTGGCCTTCCTTCTTGAAGATACCCTCCACTGCCCTAGTTCCGGCTCATTCCAATCAGGACCCGCACATGTGGGCTCATCTGAAGACTGATCCACATGTCCATATATCTAGTCTGGGCTAAAAGCTCCTGTTTTAAGCTGTAATCTGTCATCTAAAATGCAGAATATGCTGGGAGCCCTGTCCATGACATTGGGAAGCTGCATGGCAAGGGTTTCAGGAAAGGGCCAGGCTCGATGGACTCTAAGCTACAGGCCCTGCACAGGTCACTTTCCCCTAGACCTCAGTGTCTCCTCTGCAAATGCAAAGTAGGAAACATTTCTCAAAATTCTGCCATGGGACAAACCCATGACAAGATACTTGGTGTCATTAGCCAGCAAGGAAACACAAATCCACCCATGTGGGGCACCACGATGATGGTTAGGATAAAAATAAAAATAAACAATAAAAAAAAAAGGGTTGGGAATGAGGCAGAACTCAGAACCAACCCTCCTCCACTACTGATGGGAATGTTAATGGTACAGCTGCTATGGAAAACACTTTAAAGGTCCCTCGGCAAGTCTAACAAAAAAGGACTGTATGATCCAACAATTCCACTCCTACGCATATATCCACAGGAACTGAAAAGGTATTTCAAGAAAAACTACCCAAATAGTCATAGCAGCCTCATTCATAGAAAAAGGGAGAAACAAGACAAAGGTCTATCACCCGATGAGCAGATGAAGAAAGCACAGAATATTATCCAGCCATGGAAAGGAGGTACGGATGCATGTGCGGCACACCCGAGCTTCGAGAACATTATGTAACTGAAGAAGACAGACACAAAAGCCATATATGCAGGATCCCAACCACAGCAAATGTCCAGAAGAGAAATCCGCAGAGACTGGAAGTTGATTCATGGCTGCCAGAGGCCAAAGAGCTGGGGGAGGACAGGAGTGACTGCGAACAGGCACAGCATTTCCTTGTGGGGTGATGAAAGTGCTACAGACAGAGAGCGCAGTGACAGCTGCTTAGCACTGTGGAAGCTCTCGAGGCCACAGTGGTGTGGGAGCGGATGAGCGGCACCTACAGTGGGTCCTGCAGCGTCTCTGGCCCCGGGTAGGTGAGGTACGTGAAGCCGAAGCATCCTCAGCTGCTTTAGAAGTCAGGTCCTCATGTTGTGGTTCACAGGCCCAGCAGACCAGGAAACAAGGCTCTTCAAAATCCTGTGAATCTTTTTTTTCCCCCCTAGACAGGGTCTCACTAAACTGCCAAAGCTGTCCTTGAACTTGCTACCCTCCTGCCTCAGCCTCCCTTGTAGCGATAGATTATAGCTCCCTGGTAGATTACAGGTGCATCCCACCACACCCCTCACAAAGTCCTTTCTTTTTAAACAACAGGAAAGGTCATTTATAAGGAGCTCCACCAGGAAATGGCTACAATCACAGCCTCTTGGGATTTCATGTCTTTGGGGACAAGAATCCCAAAGTCCAAAGTTCTGGTCCCCAAGAGCAGCAAGGCTCCCCCCACTGAGAAGCAGGGTCTGAAATCGTGTGACAGACACATGTCCACGCTGTCACCCCACTCTTACTCTGCAAGCTGCCTAGCTCAGGCCTCCTCCAGAACCCAGAACAAGGGGACCCAGTGACAGCCCTCACGGCGACATCACCAGGGAGTGATACAAACACACTCATGTCCCAGGATTGTCCGGAAGTTACCAGAAGCAGAGGAAGGTATCCACTCAGAGGAAAGGAACCAACAGTAGGGACATACCTGGGACAAGGACAGATATAACTGCTATGTCACTGCCTTTGGTTGCACCTCAAAAAAATAAAAAAAAAGCCTGTGGAAGAGGCTACATGGTGAGCAAAGTGCAAGCTGCTGAAGAACCCATATAGGATGATGCCACTTCAGTTAAACCAGGCAAACCACATAGAACAAGACTACATGCTGCTCGGGGGGCACACCCGTGTCATCTAAAAACCCCAAACTGTCTTTAACCACTTGGGAGTGAATCACCGAATTCAGGACAGTGGTGGCCTCTGGCTTTAGCAACATCAGTGTTTTATGTCTTCAAAGCTGCAGGCTGGATATGTGAGGATCCACTTGTTTTTTTTCTGGGAACCCTGTGTTCTGAAATAAGTTAGGCAGCAAAGTAAGGGGGCCTCTCACCCCCTTCCCATGATGACCTCATGGCAGGTGGAGCAAGGTCACTAATGTGATGCAGACCTTCTCGAGGCCTCTCTGTGCGTCAGAAAGTAGTGCCACAAATTACTTTGCAAGGATTCCACTGCCAAAATAACAGACAAAGGGACTTCCATGCCCACACCAGCTCCATGGGACAGGCACAGGTGTGGCCAGACCCGTCCTCTGGGTCCAGAGATTGCACAAAGCACCCGTATTGTGCAGTTTCCCCCTCTATCCTTGCATCCTCCCCGCAGCAGGACTCACCTCAATTTTGTCTGTCTTGGCGTCTCCCCAATACAACTTGCCCTCCTGCAGGTCCAGGGCCAGGCCATTTGGCCACCCAAGGGAGGTGTTCACCAGGACATGCCGCTCCCGTCCATCTAGGTTGGCACACTCAATTTTGGGGTTCTCCCCCCAGTCTGTCCAGTACATGAGGCTGCAAAAGAAGCAAGTGCCCATGACAGTACCTGTCTCACCTCCGTCACCTCCCCAGTTCTGAGCATGACCCCTCCTCCAGCCTGACCATCACATGGAAGGGCTTGGAAATTGCTGGAAGTCTGGGCCAGGAAGAGCCACAGCTGGTGTGTGCAGCCTGTGCTCTGCAGGGATCATGGTGGCCCAGGGTGACACCACCCCATGTACTCTGGTACTCACAGAAGCCAAGAGCCCATCTCCTGGCACTCGGGTTGACAGGGGACATCCTGTCAAGGGTCTGGGGCAGCCTTTCATCAAACCGGGGGGAGTAGAGGGGGTTACCAGACGGAGGCAAGAGGCCAAACGGAGCCTTCTGTGACGCAGAAGGGCTCCTGCGTGCCAAGGGTAATGGATTATCTGTGGGCCCAGGAGGGTAGCGATGTCCTGGTGGTGGCTTGGGGCCGAGGTTCCAGTGCAGGAAAACCAGCCTGAGCTGCATCCAGGCCACAGCCTCAGCTGCGCCGCACGTGAACAGTCCTGTGTACACCCTTCCTCCTCAGCGAGCTGGACCCCAAAATCTCCCACAGCTGACTGCCAAACTTACTTAGCTAGGGATTCCAAGACTCAAGATGAAGGCTGGGAAGGATTCAGGAGTCTGCTCTCCCAGCCCCTCTCACAGAAGAAGACCGCTGAGGCCCATGGGTCTGTGGCTTGACCAAGTATCTTGACAGCAAAGCAGGAAGTAGGTCCTGAGCCTCTTGACTGACGTCAGGGCCACGGGCTCTCCACCTGAGCTGACAACCAGCCCCCTTCCCCTTGCTGTCCCAGGGTCCCAGGGGACACTGCGCCTTCCCCCAGCCATCCTCAAGTTGACAATCTTGGCTTCTCTCACTAACACAGAGCTGCTGTGCTCACCTGCTGCTATGTCTGAGTCACAAAAGGCTGGTCGGGCGCCAATCCTCTGCCCAGCCCTCCATGCTGACCACTGCACCATGCATCCGGGTACAACCCACCTGACCTGTTCAGCCTCTATACTTGAGCCCTGTGGTAGGAAAAGCTCCATAGCCAGACAGGCGTGAGCCAGCTGCCACCACCCACAGGCACCCAGAGGAAAGTCACTTTGCCTTCAGAGCCTTGGATCCAGGCCATGAAAAAAGAGCAACACCCTTGGTACCATGAGGTGCCCTGAAGATGGCAGCCACCGCTACTATCCTTGGTCACCTCAGGGCATGTCAGGCCACAGGCCACATCCTGCACAGAAGGCAGGTAGTGTCCCCACATCCCAGCACAAGTCCACCTCCTCTTTCAGGATCCACCTGTTCATGTTTCAATTAGGAGCTTCTGAGAGGCACACAGTCACTATCCTCTGGGGTCTCAGCAGGCCCCGTCACTCATGGAGGACTAGCCTCTCTTCACACAGTCCCCAATTTGCGACCAATCAGCTGTGCAGCATAGGGAAAGTCCCTTACCTCTCTGGGCTTCAGAATCCTTCACTATGCACCTGCACCTACCCAAGGGGTAAGATGAAAAGTCACTGTGTGTTTGGAAGACGCTGGGCTATGGTAGGTGCCACACAACCGCCACCCTCAACGTCACCGTGAGGGTCACACAAGTCACCTAGGTGGGCTGGTGTACTACGGGATGAGGAAACTAACACTTGGGAAGCTGTGACTCACTCCATTCTCCAGGACTTTCTGTGCATTGCACACAGCCCATGCTGCTGTTTCTCAAAGTCTGCCCCAAGGATGAGCAGCATCAGCAGCATGAGCGTAAGAAATGCAAGGTCTCAACCAGCTGGCATCTCTTCGTCAGAACTCCGGCGCGCCCCACCTTCTACAACTAATGAGCCTCCCCTGGGATTTGGATGCCAGGGAAAGCTCCAGGGCAGCACGCTTAAGTTCCCCTGGCACCCAGGCAGCCCTGCCCAGGCTTACCCCATCACAGGGTGCAGCACAATAGCCCGGGGCTCGTCCAGATCCTCGGACACCAGGATCTTGCGGGAGGTGCCATTGAGCCGTGTCACCTCGATGCGGTCAGTGCCTGTGTCAGTCCAGTAGAGGTTGCGGGCCACCCAGTCCACAGCGATGCCATCAGGGTCATTGATCTCAGTGTTCACCAGCGTCTGCGCCTCTGACCCATCCAGCTGCGCCCTGCGGATGGCCCGCACCTCATCATCTGTCCAGTAGACGTGGCCCTCCAACGGGTCATAGTCAATGGCAATGGCATGCCGGATGTCATCCACTTGAAGCACAATGTCTGTAAAGTCTGGTGTGTCCAGAGAGATCCTCCTCAGGTCTGTGCGCCGGGCTAACAGCAGCACCTCCTCGGCCCCTAGAAAGACACAGAAGACTGGGATTGGGGATGGCACCGCAGAGGAGGGTCCCAGCCAGGTCCCTTGTCTCTTGGTACACGAGGCAACACTCAGCAAACTCTTCCTATGGTCACTTGTCCATCCTCCAGAGAGTGCAGTGAGGCTGGCACTAATTTCTTATGGGGTGGCTTCACCCATGTGTGAGAGCTGCCTCACTCAGCCCCCTTTTACCCTGAAAACCCTCTGCTGCTCACAAGTCAGCCTCAACCCAAAGCACAAGTACTGCTGGAATGTTGGGTGCCAGACCCTACGTGCCAGCCCCATTCCTCAAAGTCCCCAGAGGGCCCCACCTTATAGCTGCTCTGCCTAGCTGGCTCCGTGCAAATGCCATATCCTGTGTGAAGCTCTCCCCAGTCACACTCAGGAGGCAGCCTCTGGTCTTGTGGCTACACCCAGAGCGAGAGCCCCTATGTTGCTCTGCCGCCCGGTGCCCAAGCAGGATGAGCACTGTCCATCCAGCAAATTAACCTGTTCATCCACCCCAGATGTGCACAGTGCACGGACAGGAAGGGAACCCTGGCTCTGAGAGACAGGTGGGGCCCTTTCAGCTACACCGAGCACTTATGTGACGTTTAGGGCCCATCTGACATGCCAGGCAGCCAAAGTAGAGGCAAGTAACATCTCCAGTGCCACATGTGTTTTGATCTGAGTCAGAATCCAAGGGCTCGAGGCAATGGTCATGATCCAGCAGGGCTGCTGTGGACTCTGCATAGTAAGGCCTTGAGGACAGGCCACCAGAATGCAAAGATCACTCAGGGGACTCAGACCTGGTGACTGAACAGGGCCCTGCAGATAAAGATCCCAAGGATCCAGGGCAAGACCTCATCCACATACTACCAATGCATTTTTAAAACCACACCCTAACATCCCTACCCTATGGTCACTGGGGTCTCCAGTCTATCTTAGAGCCAAGCCTAAGGGGCCAGGCAGCTTTGAACTGAGTCTTTTGTAATATGAGTGGATGGGGTTCAGGGCAGTCCTTAGGCAGGTGAACAAGGGGAGAGGCCAGGCTACCCTGGATGGCCTGCAGCACAGCTAGACACTAGCTGGCCTCAAGCAAAAGCCCCCTCCCCTACCCGAACGCAAGATCTGCCAGGCCTTTCAAGGATGTGTTACATTTTTGAAAACAATCTCCTCTTTGGGTACCTGTGCATGGCATATTACAGCAGAGCAGGCCAAGAACACACATCAGCAAGGAAAGCCAAACCCAAGACCTCCTTGGCTGCTGCAGAGTCATCAGCTGTGTTATGACTTGTATCTAGATGTCCCCCCAAAGCCTCATGGGGTCACATAGGTGGGACTTTTTAGGAGTGGCTGGATCTAGAGTTGGATCAAGAATGTGATGCCAGGATTTATTCAGAGTGCAATGCTAGGTTTACAGATATGAGTGCTATCTGCCCTGGACAAAATAAAAGAGACAGAAAAGAAAAGTAAAGAGAGTCACTTGGGGGCCAGGGAGATAGTTCAGCATCCTACGTGCCTGCCTGGCAAGCATAAGGTCCTGAGTTCAATGCCCGATACCAAAAAAAAAAAAGTCACCTGCTGCTTGCTCTGCTGCCCTCTGCCTGCTGTGAACAGTTTCCCCTCTGCAATGCCCCTCTACCATGCCACCCTACCTTGGAGCCAGCCAATTAGGAAATGAAACTTCTACAGTTTTAATTTATGAACTGAAACCTCACCAACTATGAGCTAAATAAACCTTTCCTCCTTTAACTTTGGGTGTCATGTATTTTGTCTCCACAACAAGGAGGGCGGGCAAGACAAGCTGCAACTGTCACCCTACATCTCTGGTCCAGTGGGTGGCAAATCTGGGGACCCTCTCAGGAGCCCTTCCCACCCATTCTAGCTGCAGAGGTCACTCCAATCTCTGCAGCAGGGTCTGGATAGATGTTTACAAGTGCCTCTTCTGAGCCCTATGGGCTGCCTTCCACATGCTCCCAATCCCTAGGCCTTAAGGTCAAAAATAACTTAAAAGCCAAACCTGAGACTCACCTTGGCTACAGCAGCTCCCACGCAACACAGGAACACTGCTAACCCTGTCCTAGGCCCCCATCATGGAGATTTATCCAAACCCTCAGCAGAAGATGCACATGGAGCCTCACAGAGCCTTGTGCATTCCTGGGGACTCCAGTGTGTCCCCTCCACCCCCAGTATAGAAGCTTTCCAAGGCTGCTTGGGTCAGGACATGGCCCTGTCCTACACAGCTGAGTCACCATCCACTTGCTTACTCCTGCCCTGTGTGGTCTCAAGGACCCACAGAACCAAGGATGTCAGAGCCAGAGATAACTTTCAGCATTCCAGGGACACTTGTCTCCAATCACAAAGCAGGATGAGAGGGTCTGCCCTCACACTTTGGACCCCAGGCCCACTGCTGAGACTCTATGGTGCATAGCCAAGCTGTAGCCTCCCACAACTGGTGTCAGCTTCCTGCCACAGAAGCGGGAACCTGAGTGCAGGTCCTTCCAGGGGCCTACTACCCTGTTCTTCAAGCAAGAGCGGGGCCACTCCTGATGCCTACTCCAAACTCAAATTCACAATCTGGTTCCTCCACTAGAGGGCGCATATGCAACAGCTTCTTGAACTCAGGGCTGGGGAAACTAAGGCAGACAGGCAGGGCAAGAGAGGCACAGGCAGCTCTCAGAAGATGCCCCAAGTGCCCAACCACAATGAAGCCTACTGAGACTCAAATTCGATTTAGTGGGAGGTGAACGTGTAAGTTCTGACTTGGTATCTGCTGGCCAGGGAAGCAAATTCTGAATTTCAACAAAATCTATACTCTCCAGGCTCCATTTCCAAAATGCCCTGCTGACATCTGCCTCACCGTCAAGGCCCAGGTCACAGGCCATTTCCTACTCTCTTGAGAAGCCAGTCCTGTCCTCTATCCCACTGGACAGACGAATCTTGCCCCCACTAGTTGGCCCCCTGCCAGGCTGCCACCACTACAGGCTCCTGGGATCCTGGCACGTGCCCTTTCACACAGCACTGCACCCAGAGCAGGCAACAAGCCCGTCTGCCCAGAGGTGTCTCTGTATCCCAGAACAAGCAGGCAGAAGCAGGACAGGAAGCTGGCCTGTTGCTGCTGTGACCTTGGGCAGGGTCCTGGCCATCCCTGAGCCCACTTCCTCATCTACAGCGAGGACTTACCCAGACTCGATACAGCTGCGTCCCTGTCTAGCTCTGACATCAAGGGCACTGTGAACCCAGTGTCATGTCGGGTACCAGCTTAATCAGTCAATATGACAGGAGAAGAGTGTACCTAGGGCCCAACCAGGAAGGTCCCTGCCCAAAGGGGTGCCTGCGGCGAGACTTCACAGAGACGGGAAGGCGGCTCCTAAGCTGCTGAGCTCCTGAGCAAGGATGAGGTTCGTGTGTCAAACTCCCACTGTCTGTTTAAGAAGGTCTCATCCTGACTCCACAGGAAATGCCACAGGAAACTCACATCTAGCATAGCACAATCTTCACACCAAATATGACCATATCCCACTAACTGACGAAGAACTTAATCCCAAAGAGCACAAGCGGGGAGGTAAGGTCCCTTGAACACTCTAATCCAGGCAAAAGGCACAGACAGGATGCATATTTCTTCCTTGCTGCTGGGCTGGCTCAATCCTCCTCCCCGTACTTCTGCAGGTATCTACGTTGGCCCACGCTGCAGACCCACTGGAGGTGTGGACAAAGCAGACTCAGGATCTCCCCGGGGTCACAGAGTGTAAGTGAACAAGAGATTGTAAGTGAGCAAGACCAGCAAAGAACACACAACCACAGACCAGAGCTAATACTGCAAAAGACAGCTGAGTTTGGGGTACAAAGGGAGCCTCCTAGGGCTGGGTGTATGCTTTATGGCTCAGAGCCTGTCATCACACTGAGGATCCTAGAGGTGCTCCATGCAGGGCACAGTACACAGGCCTACCCCAACATCGGGTCAACACAAAGCTTCAAGCACGCCCCAATGCCAGGGAGCCCATGCTCCAACACACCTGAGAACGACCCGAAGTAAGTCTGTGGCTGAGGCAGCTCCTCACTGCTGGGATGAGTCTACAGATGTTTACTGACTCCCAAGATGCATCTGACACCCTAAGGCTGCAGGACTTTGGAGGTTTTTTAGTTTGGCCAAATGAAACACACAGACCAGGACCGGGAGGCCTGAGAGGGAGAGCTGAGGCTCAGCCTGCAGGCTTCTCCAGTGCAGCAGTGAGCGACTGCGTCCAGGGCTAGGTGAACTGCATGCACCACTGGCCTGGGCTCTGCCAACATTTGCCGGGGCTGGTGCACCACAGATGGCCTCTGAGAGGGTTCTTTGGTGGCAAGGTCCAAGCAGCAGCCCTGACTGTGGGTCTGAGGGGTTTGGGGTGGATGGGGCGGATGCAGGAAGCAGTCCAGGGCACTGCAGGAAAGTACTAATCTCTCGGTACCTACCACTTGGTTTATTGTCCATTAGTTTGTTTTTTGCTTTTTTTTTTTTTTAAATAAAAGATATACAACCAATGGACCAAAAAAGCAAAACAAAACATTAACTCCCAGCAATAAATGGGCAACAATCATAAACTCACAGAACAAAATAAAGACAATAAACGTAAAAAGAAAGGCAGCAATACACAAGTAGAGTGAGTGGCCCCTGGTCATCACACAGGTGGAGAGCTGTGATCCTCAGTGCGGGGGCAGCTCTGCTTCCTCAGGTGCTATAAGTCAGCCACAGCCTTGTGGCCATGAGGACCTTCTGGCTGTGCCACTTCACCTCTGAGGGCACAGGCTGAAGACAGGAGGAAATGCACACAGGTTCACATATAGTCACCTCAGCTTCATGGCAAAAGCAAAAAACCAAAGGCAAAGTAAAGAACCTGTGAGGGCTGGTGCGATGGCTCAGCAAACTAAGCACCTACTTAGGCAAGTGCAAGGACCAGGGCTCAATTCCCCGCACCGCATGCCGTGCTAGCCCCAGCCCCAGACGCGCTGAGCCAGC